TATATATATATATATTGGTGCCGTAAGTCGTGGTTTATTGGTTGGTGGGGTTTTTAGGCTCTTAACCCTGCATGAGTAATAGTAATGAGTTGCAGGGATTTGAATATTGAGGATAGTTGATCCTTGTGACTTGTGATTTGTGTTAGTGGGGCAAGTATGCCCTTCATTTTTTATAAGATAAAGTTGAATATACATGCAATTGGGTAAATATGTTTGTTATATTTTTATTAAAAAATAATGATTAAAATTTTATTTTGGTTAAGCATATCTTTACAATATTACATGTGTCATTGTTCCTCATAGTCTTTCTAATATTTTAATGAAAATAAAAAAGGTACTATGACTTTTCCCTTTTAATGAACTACTCCATTTCCTTCCGGGTATTGGGTTGACTTTCTAATAAGTCCCCCAGTTTGAATCCGACGACTCCACCTCCGACTTGCTCGGATGATTTTGGTTTCTTAGCAAATTCTTCTCCCATGTCTTCCTCGACTCTCCTCGCAGTCGCCGTTGTTTCTTTTTGCTAAAGACATCCAACATCTTCGCCTAATTGACATGTTTAAGTTTCTGATTAGATCATTTTTTCATAAGGACAATATAGAAGCCGAGTGAATGCATGAAGGGAAATACTCGTGATAGTGAGAACTATCCATTACACCCAAAATATTAGGGTCACGACCATGAAAATCCAAAGAGTCTCATCATTACATTAAATTATGGGTATTAATATTCAATTTATTATGTTAAAAATTTTCTTTTCCTTATTGTAACTGTCACTTGTCTGTAATTGAATATTAATAGTTAAATATTAATTGTAACTATTCACTTGTAGTTTAAAACTATTGATAAACAAATTTCTGATGGTTTCACGATGTTTTTTTGGACGTATGTAAGTCACTTGTCTGTAATTGGAAAAGCAATAGATAAACCAATGGCTTTTATCTTCAGACAGTCTACTAACGGTCTTTACCCATCTATAATTAATTAAAAGAAAATCGTTTGCAAGTGGTATTCATCAGCTATCATAATCGATGACTCGAAATCATCAGACCAGTAAGGGTGTGACCTTTGGTAATGAGCCAGTAAGTCGTCAGTGAATCAGTAAAATGTCATTGGAAAGCCATAGAAAATATGTAAAACTAGGAAAAAATAAATATCCTTTTTCATTATTTTGATTTTCATATCTGCAATTGTAACATTAATCCCAATGTGATATAACAAATTGCACAATTTACCAATCCAAGCATTTATTAAAATAATATAACAATAATTAACGCAGAAATGAAACACAAAATTAAAAAAAATGGATTGAACCAACCAAAAAGACTATAGTTACAAAAAATAAGTTGTTCGCTCAAACTGTTTCAAATAAACAAATAAAAATAAAAATTTTCTAATCTTTCTTTGTCCCCTTCTCATCCTCCTCCTCAAAATCATCCACTAATTGTTGCTTGCCTCTCATCTCTACTCAACTTCAGAACTCATCTAACTCGGATTTCATTTTCAGCTCCATCCCCAACTTCATCCCCGACCTCATTTGAGCAAGCTCGACAGCACCCTGGGTCTCAATGTTTGTGGTAAATGCAGTAACCTGCCTACAAACTTCCTCATTCTCGGTGCTAGTAGTGAATGCCCTAAACGCAATGGAGGAGGGATGAGTGTCGTTGATCTGCACCTGAGACCCCAACTCGGAGAACCGACCTTTCTTTTGCCTCTGACAGCCTTCATCCACAACTCATACTCGAATGGATCATGCCTGGGATTGTAATACCACCTGATTGTTGGGTTTGACTCTCCTTCAGCCTTTGAAATGTTTCCTACCAAAAAAAATGTTAAGGAAAGTTAGAGGCTAAATAAACATCAATATTTTATCTGAATTCTATACTAGTTACTCTTGTGAATTACCTGAGTTGCTTGGGATTTGCTGACGTTCTAGGTCTGGTTCGATTGCTGTGTGTGCGTATAACTAGACAATATCGGGCTCTCATCTCAACTTTAGAGTCTGTCAGTATGATGAAATATATACCATATATTTAATTTACAATAATATTTAATTCATAAATTAGCTCTTATCAATCTTCTCTTATACCTCATGTACGGGGGCACTAAGTTAATATGCTTGGAGGCTCCCTTGTCTATGTAGTTAATGCACCAATTTTGTTTAGCTTGCTCACTCTTCTACTTGTAATCCGGAGATTCGCAGGCCCTGAGTAGTGAGCCAAACTCATCCTCACTGAGCCACAAAATTGACAACAAGGAAATGAAAATTAATTAGTGCACAAAATTTTAAACCAAAGTATGATCATAATATTAAATGCAACCCACAAATTACTGAAATTGAAAACAAAAAACTACGCAGTAAATAAAATGGGAAACAAACATCACTCTCATAGGCTCAAGCTGATAATAATTGCTACTATTGCCCAGTGCCTTTTGATCAATTGCAACAGCATGACCCTCTGCCGAAGCAAATAGAGTTGCAATCGTAGCTAATGATGATTATGGTATGCTAGGAAGAGAGGGCAACAACCTATTATTTTAGGAGTGTGACACCAACATTTTATGATATAGCTAAGCTTCTCAAATGTTGATTAAAAAATTCACAAAAAAAGTTAAATGTCGGTTTCACACTCTTAAAAAATGATGTCAAGTGCGTTAAACATTTACACTTCTAGAAAAATAAAGATGGGGGAAACTCTAACACAAAATATCAAATTTATCTCATTTCACCATTTTATCAGAATCCTCAACCGAGCCACCTACAAAATTAGCATTCCAATCTATAAAGTCACAACAACATAACACTATTATTACTTTGAAAAGTAAAATACACCTTATCATGCATAAAGTTAGAGCTACAATGTTATGTATGTAAATATGAAAGTTTAGATGTGAGATATGTAAAAACATAAGAATTGCGGGGCTACATATTTAAATTTCCCTTAAAAGTAAGTTGTTAAATAGGGGAAGACATAAGAGTGAAGCCCTAAACATGTTGTAATCACATAAATAATGAAAAACATACAAAACCTAATAAAAAAAATGAATTTCTCAAAAACATAATTTAAAAATGCAAAAAAAAAACTAACAATTCAAATTAGATAAAAACTTAGAGGAATGATCTAATCGAGATTA